CATAATAAATTCGTAATAATATTGTTAGTAAATTCATATTCAGAACGCTGAAAGCTTTATTGTTCATCCTAACGATGTTTTGATTAAATAGCACCGGTTATTGAAATAATAAATATATCTAATCTTTTTCATAATTTTATAGTTAGTAGGGGGCGAGCCCGTCGAGATTATAGAATAGTTTAGACAATTTTCAGTGGTACCGATGGAGGTAGGGTTTCCAAGAAATAGGTCAACTCAAAACTATTACATACAGTATGAAAAATAATTAGCATAATATTCATAGAATAAAAAAATTGCCTTGGTATAAGAAATAGAAATTTGAAAGTATAGTTTAAAATATTATTGAAATTTATATCCATACAATTATAGCACAAATATGATAACAATATGTTACTTTTTTAACTAAATAAATATATGATATTATTATGAAACTATATTGATAAATGCTATTTTGTTGCCTATTGAAATCCAATAATTGTACATTCAACACTTTTACAACTATAATTTTTTGATTATTCATAGTAAAAATAACAAATTATTTAATTTGTTAATGTTTTATTTCTAGAATAAAAATCAGGAAAAAAATGTATGATGTATGTATAATGCTTGTTGGTTGCATGATTGCATCGGTCCCAGTTATGTACAATGTAATACAACACATTTTGTTTAAAATTTTGTCCAATATTTGTGTTTATGTAATTTCAAATTCTATTGGAATTCAGATAGCGAAACTTCATACGAAAAGGATAGGAATTCGGATCAATAAATCGTACAAATAAAACGTTCCCGATACTGCTCGTGCCTTCAATCATTTAGAACAGTTAGGCCTTAAATTTATATATAACACTTATATAAGTGCTTAATGTTAATAATTTTTTTTTTTTTGTAATAGACTTATTAATTTAAGTTAACGATATTTTTAACTTAATTGATGTAATTCTCATGTGAATTAACTTAATTGAACATTAACTCAATTAACTTAACTGAGTTGAAAATATCATTCACTTATCCAGCCTTAGTAATAAATAATGATCTGGAAAACCTTGATAACCAGGTGTCCAAGATGTTCGAAAAACAAGGGTGGCTGAATATTTAGAGCGACATTATGAATTAAATCTCAGAAATAATTATCATAATAATGACTTGTACTATAATAATTAATAATCGATGGCTAAAGAGTTCAATAATAAGATAGATACATTTTTTTTTTTTTTTTTTTGGAGAACAAATACTATTAAAATCTACTTTTATTATTCAATCAATAATTGCAATATATTTTGTTATGCATAATTTTCTATGTTCTATGTAATTTTGGTTTTGTTTGTCATTGAATTACTGAATATCTTGTCGAGCATAAGCAATAGTGTCACATAATAATTAAATATTGTGTATAATAAAAAAAAACTGAGCATTTAATATTAATTAAAATGTTGTGTTTCTTTGATATTGTAGTACTGTAATCGTTTAATTGATCAAACGTGGTTTTATTAAATATTTTTAAAACAACATTAAAATAATTGTTTAAAACAAAAAAATATAATTTTTTTTAACACAATTGTTTCATTAATTTCACATAATAATAATAGTAACATAATATAAAATATGTTTTAAACAATAACTAAAAATAACCATTATAACATTTTAAAGTTTAAAAAAAACTCTGGACAGTTTTCAGAAATGAAATTTCGGAGGAGAGTAGCAAATTTGTTTGTATAACATAGGCGGCCAAATAAGTCTGAGTCTGGTCAACTCCAACATAGAAGATAATGAGTTTTCGTTTTATAAAATGAACAACATGTCTACTTTTTCTTATATGTTAGAACTAAAGTCAACATAGACACAACACAGTTATTAATGTTACGCTAACGATTTTCGTGCAAAATTGACTAAAACAATGATACCATTAAGTTGTGTCGTTTACGCAGCTAAAAAAAAGTGAAAAACGATTCTTTTTCGAAAAATGTATAAAAGTAATCTATTAATATTGTTCGAATTTGTTACGAGGCAAGCAAAAATAAATATACTAAACCTAAACCATGAGAATTCATACAAAAATTAATCTGTTCGTCGATTCTCTTGTGATCGATTACCTTAAACCACTATAAGACTTGTAAATTCCGTAAATTCATCGACAATAATGTTACTGTTATTCTCGAATTCCATAGTCGTCTTGTCGAATTAGGAGAAAATATTTAATGAAAATAATTTTATTAAATTTATAAAGATTTATATGCTCATATGCAGTGTTGAATGGTATCTGATAATTTAGATCAGGGACTGAAACCGTACCTAAAAGAACCGGAACCCTTTGAATATTGGGAACCGGAACCTCACCGAAACCCTAATTTAAATAAATTTTAAAACCGGAATCACGCGGGAACCTTTATTTGTAATAATTTAAAAATCGAAACATCACCGGAACCGATAATTTTTTGTAAAGGTTTTTTACGGTTAATTTCGGTATTGTTATAGTTGCATTATTACTATTTATAATGAAATACCATTATGTATTTATGTTCAATGGTAATACTTAATAGTTTTTCATTCTATCATACTAGTTAAACTAATCACTAGTCAGACAAAATATTTTTAGTCATTATACAAGTACAGTGTTCCTGATAAACGATAATAAATGTTTTTATTTTTATTGTTGTCATAGCAGTTAGTATGAAATACGTATACATACTTGGTATTGGTATAGTGTCTATCTACAGAATATCACCAATACATAATTATATTGTTATTATTAATAATTTGATCATGTGTGTGGACTATTATAAATGGCTTCGGGAAATAATACAGTTCTTTTTTATTAACATAAAAGTTATAGTAAAACCTTCGTCCAGCATTTACTCCCTACAAATCATATGTGAAGACGTTCATGGCTTCATGTAGTAGTTATCTTAGTTTTTAGCCGGTGAGGTGATGATTGAAGTGAAATCAAACAAAATAGGTCAGAACATAATATGATACTATTACCTTATTAACAATAACATATAATATTGTTTTTTAAAAATCATATCAAATATTATAAAATACTTAATTAATACTTAAATACTTTAAATACTTAATTTTACAATTCCAAGTTTTTATTGAATTTTCTTGACAGTTAAAAAATTTGTTTTGAATTTATAATAAAATATAAGGATCTTTATACCAATTTTTCTCTAATTTGTCATAAATTTATTTCTAAATTTAAGTAGATTATGTTAATGGTACTGCATGAAATTATTATTTATTTAATTAGTATTAAAATTAGGAGTACAAAATTGTTGAAGTAACAAAGTAGGTGCATAGAAATAAATATTACCGTGGAAATTCAAGTAAGGCCATTCATATTTAATCATTTAATTCAAACAAAATTATAAAACAATAATACAACTTGTCTAAAATAATAATCTTTATTTAGATAAAAGTAAAATTGATCATCTGAATCTGAATCTAGATATTTTTTGTTTAGAAAACTTTTTTTGTCTTATCCAGGGCCACGTTGGCTACAACTGCCCAGGGCTCCAGTTTTATGGGGGCGCTAAAATTTTATGATCGGGAACTTGCTCACTTGTGAATTATTGAACTTTTTAAATTATTTTTTTTTTGTTTTTAATAACAGTATCATAAATTAATGTTAATGTATTTAATTTATTAATATATAGGTATTATTAATGTATTTATAGCAATTTAGGTATCAGCGATCCAGAATATTATTATTATACCTAATATCAGTTCCTAAATTTGTTGTGATAATGTCAATAAACATAAGTTATTTACAATAATACGGCGTATTATGTTATCGAATGCGGCGTGAGGTGGAGTGCCTATTACACAAAAATAGCATTTATTTTAGAATATCTAAAAGGTTCATGAGGATCTATTTTCTATATTTTCCGTGGTTTGGCCCCTTAGAGGGACGCCAATTTTTTTTTTTTTTTGCGTCGGGCATAAAATTAATAAATACGGCACTGGTTTTATCTAAATACTATTATTATTGTATGAGATCAACACTGCTCATAATATTTTGTAATCGTATGTATGATAATGTTTGTATTACGAGTACCATCACTACTTGTAAATTGTACTACTTGTAAATACAGTAAAAAGACGTTCAGACATTTATAATACTTCACCATAACGTAACGTACTCTCGCTATGGTAAAGTATTATAAAAATAATTATGAATTATTCAGTAGGTCAGATAATGCAGACCATTAAATAACAGACGGAAATAAAAATAATGATTTAACCACACGCGATAAAATTGTTATCAACTACTTGTGATTGTGCGCATAGATTTTGACCACAAGGAAGATGGATTTGAAGAGTACGATGACTAAAATGTGAAGTGCATAAATCAACCAAAATACCTTAAATAAATAAAAAAAAATAGATGAATAGTGAAATATTTCTTGTAATAAATAAGACTCAAACGTATTTGCAGTGACCATGGCATTTAGATAAGTACAATATAAAAAAACTTGAAGAAATATCCCATTAAGAATATTACAGGTAGGGAGACCGGGGCTAGTTGTCCCATGGGTTGGTTGTCACAATCTATATTATTCCGAAACTAGATGGCGCTTCTATTCAAAAATGATATAGCACATTATCACTAGGGTACTAAACATTTTATTCTTGTCACGAGGTCATTAGCAGCTGTATAACCTTGTGTGCATTAAAAAAACTATATTTCACGTTGGTAACTAAATATTTTTCATGAATTCAATTCAAATTTTCTACTTATATGTTACTACTATTCTTATTATTATCAACTTTACATTTAAGTAATGTCCTAAGGTAGTTTTTTGTGTATTGTTTTCGATCGTACATCTAAGTGATAAGCAATAATCAAGGTGTTTATCAGAAGTAGTGAGCTGGGGTTTCTTGTCACATATCACGTGGGGCCAGTTGTCACATGTGACAATCAGCCACAGAAAAATATCTATTAAGTTAATAAGTATTACCTAAGCTAATTCTGAAATTATTTTTTTAAATTTTTAGAAAAAATGGTTCGTAATTTTAAAAAAAAGACTGAAAACGGGGAAACACCTCCCGATGTAATGTTAAGGGCTGTAAGAAATGTCAACATAAATAAAGTGTCTAATCGAAAAACTGCATTGGAATTTAAAATAAACTATCGCACACTTGCTAGGTACTGTAAAAAAATACCCGAAAAAGAACAGCTTGATAATAAAATTGTTACTCCTACAATCAATGTTGGTTACATTAAAAATAGAATGGTTTTTAATGAAACAATAGAGAGTCAACTAGAGTCCTACATTTTAAGAGCTTCTGATATTTATTTTGGTTTATCCCCTAAAGAAATTCGAACTTTAGCTTACCAGTTAGCCATTGAAAATTCTTTGAATATTCCTCAATCATGGACTAAAAATAAATTGGCTGGTTCAGATTGGTTTACAGCATTTTTAAAACGACATCCTACGTTGTCTATTAGAACATCAGAACCGACAAGTTTAGCTCGAGTTTCTAGCTTTAATTGTACAAACGTCAATTCATTTTTTGACAATTTGTCTACGGTCATGTCAAGACACTTTTTCCAAGCTCATGAAATATGGAATATGGACGAAACTGGCGTAACAACTGTTCAATCTCCTAATAGAGTAGTGGCTCGACGTGGATACAAACAAGTAGGAAGCATAGTTTCAGCAGAGCGAGGTACTTTAGTGACTATGGCATGTGCAATTTCAGCTATCGGTAACAATATACCACCATTTTTTGTTTTCCCTCGTGTCCATTATAAAGATCATTTTGTAGCAAACGGTCCACCCGGTTCCAATGGTTCAGCTAATCCTTTTGGTTGGATGCAAGAAAAAGACTTTATATTGTTTCTTAAACACTTCCAAAACCACGTAAAAAGTACAACCGAACGACCTGTGTTATTATTGTTGGACAACCATGGATCACATTTGAGTATTGAGGGGCTTAACTTTACAAAAAATAATGGCATAATTATGCTATCTTTTCCTCCGCATTGCTCACATAAATTGCAACCTCTCGATAGAACAGTGTTTGGACCGTTCAAAAAATATTTAAATTCTGCTGGTGATTCTTGGATAATAACCAGGCAAAACAATGACCATCTATGATATACCAACTACTGTTTCTCAAGCTTATCCTCTTTCTATGACACCTACAAATATTCAATCTAGCTTCAGGTGCACAGGTATATATCCATTCAATCGAAATATTTTTTTAGACATCGATTTTGCACCAAGTTACGTAACAGATAGAGCAGATCCAACAACTCAAAACACAAACGTAGAATCTAATAGTTCATTTAATGGAAATGTTGAATCTGAAACCGACATAGTTATTTCAAATTCACTAAATATACCGGTCGTAGAACAAAGTTATTCCGATATATCAATTTCTAATCCCGAAGCTGTCCAAAGTCATTCAAAACAAACTTTAACAACATCGCCCGATTCTGAAAAAAAACAAACCGTTGTGTCTCCCATTGATATTCGACCGTTTCCAAAACCATCTGCTAGAAAAATAACCAAAAATAATCGACGAAAACGTCAAACTGCTATTCTTACTGATAGTCCAATTAAAAATCAATTGGATCAAGAAAAATTAATGAGGAAAATCAAACCAACAAAAACAAAGAAAACAAAATAGTGACATCACCAAGAAAGCAATTTTCCCAAAAGTTTCTAAAATTGTGATAGCTTAACATATCTTTCTACTCGAGTTATTAAATTTTAATTAAGTTGTGTTTCAAAATATTTTTACCTATTTCTTTTGTTATTTATTCTAGTACAAAGTTTAAGCTAGTTACTATCTCAGAATGATATTATATTTTAATTAAGTTGTATTACAAAATATTGTTTACTTATTTCTTTTTTTATTTATTCTAGTACAAAGTTTAAACTAGTCATTATCTAAACATGATTGAACATGATTGTTAAAGTTGTTTTTTGTTCTATACAAATTATATAATGACAAATAAGAGTTGAAATTGATTGTTATTTGTATTTAAATTACCTGGGACAAGTAACCCCAAGCCTTGTGACAACCAACCTTTAAAAGGGACTGGTTGTCACAATTTTTTTTTTTAAAAAAAAATTTAAAAATGCGTTCAACTTGAATACTAGTGTTTGCTATTTTTACAAGGAGTGCCTATGATAATATATTTAATTGTGAACTTACCAAAGTTAAAAAAAAATAAAAGATTTTTTTTTAAAAAATCGAAATGTAAAAATTGTGACAACCATACCCGGTCTCCCTACTATTGCGTCATAGTACTACTGTATCACATGAAATTCATAATTTTATAGACAAATATGTTATAGTCACAATTAATTGCTATGATTAGTGGAGATAATCAATTTTAAGTTTCTATTTTAAATTTTCTTATTTCTCGATATTTATACGGCACTCGTTCTGCTTTAATGTTATAAAAACTCGTTTGTCTCTTCTTAATTTATTTATCGATTCATTAGTATTATATAAGTTACACTCATGGTAATTTTTTATAACAGATCTTAATTAAATTTAATGATTATGAAAATGCATAACAATTGTATTTAAGGGATCACATTACACTCATTTTTCGTACGTTTTAGAAGTTTTAGACGTTTTAGCGGTGGTAAATTACACATACTTCCAAATTTCCTATTTCAATTTTTAATATATGCATGCATTTTTTAACAGAATATCTAGGCTTTCTAGGAAGCTGATTTTAAATTTTTAATTTTAAAGGACTTTAAAATTAAGATATTTTTTTAAAAAATCTCATGAAATAATCGCATTACATTTTTGTATTAATTTTGAGCACATCTGGTTTTAAATCAAAAAAGTGATTCCTATAGAGCATAGTCAAGAAGTTTACGAATTTAGCCCTTTTTTCGAAATTACAATCGAAGTTTAGGAAGTATGTCTAATTTACTACCGCTTTTGGTAGTTTTTATAGGTTATGAATACAAGAATATATTTCATTTTTCGCAATTTATTGACATGTGCGTACGCTTGCGAGAGTTGCTTTCGTCAGCGGCATCGACGTGGCATAAGAGCGATTCTAGGAAAAAGCCGATAGGATTACTGGATAGGTATAAAAAAATAACTAATAGGTAATAATAAAAATGATTATTTCCAAAATTAATATACGTATAATATTATACACGAGTACAACCCATATAAATTATGTCATAGGCATGCGCAAGGGTGTGGCTTATAGGGCTATAGCCACACCTGAGACTTTTTTTAGGTATGTACTAGGTACTTTGGTAAAAAGGGCTAATAACTCTTTTTTTTGGAAAATCCAAAGTTTTTTTATCAAATTATAAAAAAATAAAAATTGCCGGGACTGGCGTTCATTGATAATCGGATTATACATCAGTTTTTCTAATAAATTTTATTTCTTCTTATGTTTTGTATATCTATTTTTTTTTTTTAAGATGGGGTTTTATAAGGGGGTGGGTGATCATAAAAAATAAAAGCCACACCGGAAACAGGAATCTGTGCACGTCTATATTGTATGTAAATAGGAAATATACTATCTATGATTTATAAATCATTTCATTTCAACACTACGTGCCGATCAGTAAAGTTGTCCTCAACTTTCTAGTTTTTTGTGTTCTTTTTTTAATATTTAATTACAACATGGGTCAAGACTGGCGTTTTGGACGAAAAATACTTTTTTTTTTTTATCATTAAGATATATATTTTATATGTATTATGGTAATTCATACTTATAAATAAATTAATTGTATTTAATATAATTTATTTGTTCACTTTAAATTGTACCTTCCGTAATACATATTCATATAATATTGTTGTACCATGTACACTAGAAGGTTGCCTATCAGAGTATTGTTTCATATAGTTATACTTTTTTAAATAATTGCATAAAAAATAAAGTTATGTAATAACGAGATAGCCGAGATTGTGAGTACTATGAGCACTAGTGATGGGAAAAATCAGAATTTGCAAAGGTTGAAAATTCGGATTTTTGAAGTTCGAAATCCGAAATCCAGATTTTACTGTAAACCCGAATTTCGGATTTGAAAACATTGAATTAGTATTCTTTCAAAAACTTTTTATAGTAAAAACAAAATAATTGAACATTCTCAAAATTAATAGAATAAATAAATAAATGATATTTTGATCCAACCTAATTAAGAATCTCATATAAAAGTTGTTGTCTAATATTAAATATATAAGTCGGATATCATAAAATAATTTTAGTTATTATTAGTTGTATCTCCAAAAATAATGATACATAAGACTTGAAGTGTTTACCAATTATTCAGATATCTTATTTAGACCACCATCATCTTGTCCGAGAATTAAAATAACGATTAAAAAGTGGTATAATGAAAGTTATATGATTATAATACAGAAATTTGCAACAATAAACCCAAATCTCGGATCTTCTAGCCTGAAATCTGGATTTGGCTGATTTTCGAAGAATCCGGATTTCATTCCCATCGTTAATGGGTACTATAGGTACAATGGTATCATATAAGACTATAAGATAACACCTGCATATGTACGTAGGTAATGACATTTGTGTAACATTTTAAAATATATAATTATCATAGTTCCGGCAATCCATAAAACTGTTGACCGGTAGGCAGTGGCATGCGATAATGGATTACACACACTAATGTTTATTTACTACTCACACAATAACACAGTTCAAATGTAAATGTGATATGAATTGCCTAAATATTACTCCTTAAAACGTGCTGTCCCCTTAAAACGGTTGGAAGCAGTGTATTTATTTCACGTTTTAAACCTAAGACCCTGACAAGATTACGCATACTTAAAATCATCATAATTAAATTCTGTAAAAAGATTTGAGTGGATCAACCTTTTTTCAAGGTTAATGTGGAAATCGATTTTTGATATTTGTTTAAAATTTGTCTTTAAATCTTATTTGAGTTTCTCAATATTTTTTTAATTTTTGGATTTACTTTAGTGTCTTTTTTTAAGAATGTTAAACAGTAATTTTAAAATCGACTTCCACAATAATCTAGAAAAAAGGTTGATCAACTCAAATCTTTTTACAGAATTTAAATCCGATCATTTGGAGTTGACGTTTTTTTGTCAGGCTTGATTAATTTTTAGAGTTTCTTCATCGGAAGAAAATGTTTTATTTCATCAAATGCAATGACTTGTGCATGCGCGTGCAAATTGTTAATTGTTTCCCCAAAACATTAAATGCCGACGCGCAATGTTAGCTGCCTGCAAACCAATAATATTATATAGAACCCTATATAGTCTTATTGTAAATTCAAATAAATTGTATTATCTATATTTATAATTGTATATTTACTGTAATGATTTTTTACACATACTGTACGATTATGCCGCAGTTACCTATGGATTGAGTCGATACTTAGTACTTACAGCCACATCCAATGTTGAGTTTCAGACGTTTCAGTGCATTGTTACTCGATTTTATATGGATTCATTACTTGCAGAAATAATCGATTCTAGATTTGATCGAAGATTACCAATAAGGCCAGACATTTCCGAAAAAAAAAGTTTAATACTATAATAAATGTAGTATAATAATTATTATTATAGTTATTATTATAAATTATATAAATATAATTACCATAAAACTTACGAATTTATTTGTTATGATTATTTTATTTCTAATACATCTTGAATTAATTAATAATTAGATGTTATGAATATTCGTTCTAAAATTTTTTTTTATAAAATTTGGCAACCGATGATTCTCGCACTCAAATTGCAAATGCGTTATACTTATTATATATTATGAATTGATAAATAATAATAATAATAATATTGAAAAATATTATTACAGTTGTTGCCAGATAAATTGAGACGGCGGCGGTGGCGCTTTTCATGAAGTGTAGCCCAAATTAGTCGCTGGCAGTGTGGTGCAAAGGTTAGGTTACGATGCGCGCAGTCACCAATTCGAACCCTGTGTGTTTAGACCATGCGGCGCACTTCAGTCGCATCAACAATTTGTTTATTATAAATGTATAAAAATAAATGATTCGGTTGACCAATGACAATATTAATTATTAACAAAAATTAAAAATCGTAAAGCTCACAGTCAAGCTAGGGAAATAATTTAGAATTAATATCATAAAAAAATGTTTGT